GCACAGATGGTGCTTGACCGCCCAGGGTTCCCCTGTGCTGTGGCATCCTCGGGGAAGCTCCACCCTGCTGAGTCCTCCAGGAGAAAATCCAAATTTTCACTTCAGCGGAAATATTTCATTGGCTGAAAATAAAAAAAAAAAAAGGGTGAGAAACCAGACAGGAGTAGGAGGGATGAAAGGAGTAAAAAAAAAAGGCAGATTTGTGGTTATTCGCTGTTTTTTCCGCGCTGTTTTTATTGGGATGCAATTCTTCGTGAATGGGGTCAACTCAATAAAATTATTAATAAAACAAAAGTGATTTATTCTAAAATAAAATCAGGTTTGCACTGGCAGTTCCTGGTTCTGAGGAGCAGCCATGGGACGCAGCTCAGCAGGCTGGGATTGGGATTGGGATTGGGATTGGGATTGAGATTGAAAAACTATAAAATTTAAAATCTATAAACCTAAAACCTGAGGCATCACAACATGAATCTCAGAACTGCAGCCTAAAGCAGTGCAGAATATGAAAAAATATAAAATTTAAAATCTAAAACCTGAGGCATCACAACATGAATCTCAGAACTGCAGCCTAAAGCAGTGCAGAATATGAAAAAATATAAAATTTAAAATCTAAAACCTGAGGCATCACAACATGAATGTCAGAACTGCAGCCCTAAAGCAGCACAGAATCTGCTTATATAAAATCTAAAATAGATTTTATAATGCCCTAATAGAATATAAAATCTAAAATTTAGTCCCAGCCCCAGTTTAGGCCTGGCTGGAGAAGCTCCCGTCAGCCCCGAGGATTTTTAAGCACAACCAGATGTGGCAGCCCGAGCTGTTAAACTCAGAGTTGTTAAACTCAGAAATGTTAAACTCAGAAATGTTAAACTCAGAGTTGTTAAATTCAGAAATGTTAAACTCAGAGTTGTTAAACTCAGAGTTGTTAAACTCAGAAATGTTAAACTCAGAGTTGTTAAATTCAGAAATGTTAAACTCAGAGTTGTTAAACTCAGAAATGTTAAACTCAGAAATGTTAAACTCAGAGTTGTTAAATTCCCCTTTGTGCTCCGGGCAGGGCCGGGGGGTCCCGGGGGTCCCCAGAACCCCCCGAGGGCACCAATAATAATAAAGAATAAAATAAAGAATAAAATAATAAAATCAGTAAAATAATAATAAATATGTAATAATATATATAATAAATAAAATAACAATAAACCAATAAAATAAAAATCAATACTGACATATAAACATAAATAATAAATAATAAATAGAATAATAGAATAATATTGTCCCATGTGACACACTATCCTTGGGACAACTCTTTTATTCCTGCAGGAAAATATTCCTCGTGCCACATCCCCCAGTTCCTGCTCATTTACCAGTGTGGAGTTTAAATAGAAGTGTGTAATATCACAAAATAGAAAACTTAATTTTTTAGAATAGTAATAGATTTAGTAATATATATAAAATGTATATGATTATATAATTGCATATTATATAATATTATATGTCGTATATATTAATAGATATAGTATTATAAAATTATATATTAATATACATATTTATATATATGTATAATATATATAAATATATATATTATATATAAAACAAGATAGAATATTTAAAGCAGTAGCTACTCCTTCTTCTTCACCTCCTTCTTCATAAGAAGTGTAATTAGATAAAAAAGCCCACAATGCAAGCACGAGTAATTTATTATGTTAAAAGTAAAATAACTGAAGTGTCGTTTCTTAATTACAGTTTACCCTTTAAAAACTTTGTAGAAAGAGACAAATTTAATTTGATAGCTTGTTACTAAAGTACTGTAAAATTCACAACTTATTAGAAAATATAGATTTATTCATATAATATAATGATAATAATAATATAATATCTTGTTCTTGTTCTTGTTCTTGTTCTTCTTCTTCTTCTTCTTCTTCTTCTTCTTCTCCTTCTCCTTCTCCTCCTTTTTCTCCTCCTCCTCCTCCTCCTCCTCCTCCTCCTCCTCTGGACCAAACTTATGAAACTATTAAAACCCATGACCCCATTGTCAATTTTTTTGAGTTTTTTCTGCCCAAAATCTACCTGAAGGCCCTTTAATAAATATAAATAAACCCCTTTTTTATTCCCTAAATTCTCTGATTTTAGGGTGGCCCCAAAAAGGCACCAGAGGGAGGTGTCACCCCTCCATGAACCAGCAGCAAAAACCCCCCGGTGCACAGCCCTGGAATTTTCATATTTTGGTTTTTAGAGCCCAAAGCGAGCTGAGGAATGCCTGCTGCCCTGTGGGAGAAGAGAAATCCCGGAGTTCCTGAGGAGAAAGTGTCAGCATGGATTTCTGCTGATGGTTCCTACTGCTGATCAAACAGGGGAATCATTAACGAATTGGGGCTTTTGATTAATTGGAGTTAATTTTTGAGAGGAATCGTGAGGAGTGATTAGTGCAAATAAACTTTGTGACCCCTCAGTTCCCATCCAGCTTAATGAGGTGAGGCTGAACTCTGTGGGCAGAGCTAAAAAATCCAAATTTCCCCGTTTAATAAAAGGCAGTTTATACCTAGTGAAACCAGAACTGCAGTAAATGTGGTTTTACAGCTGGTTTTATGGCTCGCTGGGATTCGTGCCACCACATTCTGGTTTGGGGACAGCCAAAGCCACAGTCCTGCAAGTTCTGGCTCTGCACAATCTGCTGTGGGAGGCTAATTAATTCATTAATTAATTAATCGAGGTGGTTGTGTCATCCAGGAGGGCCCAGGCAGAGATTTCTGCAGCTCCAACACCTGAAAAGGACAGAGGAATTCAAGGACAGGGAATTCTGCCCCTGAATTGAAAAATATTCAATATTCAAATATTTTGAAAATTGAAAAATATTCCCATTCTGTCCCTGAAAAGAAAAATATTCCCTAATTACTCAGGGATGTGACAATGTTGGGATGAGGGAATGATGGCACGATGTGATTCCGTCAGATAAAAGCCTAGGCTGGTTAATTAAAACAGATCAGGTGTTCCAAGAGAAAAAGTGAGGCAGCTGCAAGGCGTTCTTGGGGAAAATCCACCCAAAAAGGGGAATTTTAGGGCTGAGAAACAGATTTTTTTTTTTTTTTGCCTGGAGCTGCAGCACAGCTGATCCCAAAGAGCAGAGTTTTCAGGGGATATGGGGGTTTTCAGGGGAGGATATTGGGATTTTCTTAGGGGTGGATATTGGGATTTTCTTAGGGGTAGGTATTGGGATTTTTTGGGGGTGGATATGGGGGTTTTCAGGGGAGGATATTGGGATTTTTTAGGGGAGGATATTGGGATTTTTTAGGGATGGATATGGAGATTTTTTAGGGGTGGATATTGGAATTTTTTAGGGGTGGATATGGGGGTTTTTAGAGGGTGGATATGGGGATTTTCAGGGGAGTATATGGGGGTTTTCAGGGGTGGATATTGGGATTTTTTTAGGGATGGATATGGGGGTTTCAGGGGGTGGGTATGGGGTATTTGAGGGGTGGATATGGGGGTTTTCAGGGGGTGGATATTGGGATTTTTTAGGGATGGATATGGGGGTTTCAGGGGGTGGGTATGGGGTATTTTTGGGGTGGATATGGGGATTTTCAGGGTGGATAACGCCCTAACAAACAGTCATCCCATGGCCACGTCCCCGGGACACACGATCCTTGGGGCAACTGCTTTATTTCTGCATGGTAAGCTAATAGCAGGAAAATATTCCAGGCATTTGGGATTTCGGCTGCGCAGCTGAGCAGGACCCGGCCCCGAGCAGGGCCCAGACCCAAGCACGACCCGGCCAGACCAGGGCCCGGCCCGAGCAGGGGAGAGCAGGACCCGGCCCCGAGCAGAACCCGGCCAGGGCAGAGCCCGGCCCCGAGCAGGACCCGAGCAAGGCCCGGCCCCGAACAGGGGAGAGCAGGGCCCGGCCCCGAGCAGGACCCGAGCAAGGCCCGGCCCCGAACAGGGGAGAGCAGGGCCCGGCCCCGAGCAGGACCCGGCCCCGAGCAGGACCCGGCCCCGAGCAGGACCCGGCCCCGGCCCCGAGCAGGACCCGGCCCCGAGCAGGGCCCAGCCCCGAGCAGGGCCCAGCCTCGAGCAGGCCCCGAGCAGGGCAGGTCTCCCCGCGGGGCTCGGCTGCAGCCTCGGGGCTGGATTTGGGGTGCAGGGTCAGGGAGTTTTGGGGTGCAGGGGTCAAGGATTTTGGGGTGCAGGGCCAGGGGTGTTGGGGCGCAGGGGATTGGGGTACACAGATCCCGGGGTGCAGGGATTGGGGTACATGGATATTGGGATGCTGGGGTGAAGGGGATGGGGGTACAAGGATCCAGGGGTGCAGGGGATTGGGGTACACAGATTCTGGGTGCAGGGGATTGGGGTACACGGATCCGGGGGTTCAGAGGATTGGGGTACACGGATCTGGGGGTGCAGGGGACTGGGGTACACGGATCTGGGGGTGCAGAGGACTGGGGTACACGGATCCGGGGGTTCAGAGGATTGGGGTACACGGATGTGGGGGTGCAGGGGATTGGGGTACACGCATCCGGGGGTGCAGAGGATTGGGGTACACGCATCCGGGGGTTCAGAGGATTGGGGTACACGCATCCGGGGGTGCAGAGGATTGGGGTACACGGATCTGGGGGTGCAGGGGATTGGGGTACACGCATCCGGGGGTGCAGGGGCTCGGCTTGCGCGGCTGCCGGGACTCTGAGGGTTGCCCCGGGATGCTCGCGTCAGACCCGGGGCGCTCAGAGCCGCCCGGATCTCTGCCGGCCGCTGCCCCTCGGGCCGGAGCGCAGCGCGCCCCTCGCCATCCCCGCCCCGCCCCGCCGCGCCTCGGGGGCGGGCTGTGGGCGGTGGGCGGTGGGCGGCGGGAGGCGGGGGGCAGCCCCAGCCCAGGCCCTGGCCGCGGCCCCGGCCCCGGCCCCGGCCCCAGCCCCAGCCCGGCCCCAGCCCCCGCCGCCCGCCCGGGGCCGCCGCGCCGCCCCGCATTGTCCGGGCGGCAGCGCAGGATGCGGCGCCCTCACGGCCTCCCGGGCTGCGCTAAGGGCCCGCCGGCATGAGGAGGTGAGTGGGGATCCGGGGGGAACCGGGGGGATCCGGGGCGGCCCCGCCGAGCATCCCCGGGGCGCCGATCCCGCCCCGCCGCCGCCTCTTTGGGGGGAAAGCGCGGAGAGCTCGGGGAGGAACCCGAGCGCTGCCGGGGAACGGGGCAGCCCCCGCTGCCTCGGCCTTGGGCCCTCCCCTCCATCCCGGCTTCCCCAGAAAGGTGCGGGAGCTGCGGGGGTGACATGCGGGGAGCGGGAGGTGTCGGCTGCGAGGGGAGCCGGGGCGCAGGGGCTGAGCTAAACCTGAGCCTGACCCTAAATGAAGCCCAGAGGGTGCGCAGGGTGCTGTGGATTATCCGTCCGTCCATCCATCCATCCATCCATCATCCATCCATCCATCCATCATCCATCCCTCCCTCCTCCCTCCCTCGCCCCTGGAACAATGCCGGCTCCCGCACGTCAAGCGCACGCCGGAGCGCTCGCCTTCAAAACACTCGCGGCATTGAGGAGCTGAAGGCGATTTTGAAATGGAAGCTTTGCCTGAAATCCCCTAAATCTCCTTTTTTTTTTTTTTTTTTTTTTTTTTTTGGAAGTTGGCATTTTTTCACTCAGGGGAAAAGAACATCGGGAAGGGTTTGAAATCACTTCATGCCGCGTATTCCAGTTTAAATTCTGGGTTTGGAGGCGCCATGTGCTGCTTCACATCACTCCTAGTTTTACTCCGGGATCCCAAAAATCACCATTATCACTGAACGCATCCTGGTTTTGTGTCAGATTTCGTGTGTGGAGCGGAATTTTGGGCAGAATTGGGTGTTTGATGAGGATTTGGCTCTGGGGGAGGGTGCGGGGCGCTCTGATGGCTCAGGATGAATTTCCTGATGGGAATTGATGAGGTTCCTCCCCATGTGGGTGCTCCGGCGCCTGTTTGCTCTCGAGGTGCTTCTGAATTAAACATTTCGCTGGGGGCCGAGGCCTGGCAGTTGTTTATCCCATTAAACATTTGTTTTAGCTCTCTCCAGCAGAAGTGTGTTGACATTTTCTCTTGGGGGACTGCCGGGATAATGAATGGCACGTACTGTATTGTGCTCCCTGGAAAGCCACGGGATCCTGCAATAACATAAACACCCAGGCCTGAATTCATCCCCCGTCCCAGGGGAACGGGCTCCGTGTTTACATCCACGCAGCTCTCATTTCCATTATGAAAATATTAATTACTTATAATTGTTATAAATACGGATGTATTCATTTTATTGCTGACGGCTGCGGTTTGACTCCCTGCTCTGCGTTTTGGCAGTTTTGGGGAGGGGAAGGAGAGAGCCAGGTGGGTCCCCACAATTCCTGGAGTGGGGAATTGGGGAGCAGCCACAGCTCTGTCCCCTCATTCCTCCGGAGCAGGGAAGGGGAAACAGCCTCTGGCTGTCCCTGCTTGGAATTCCTGGAGCAGGGAAGGGTTGGAATTCCTGGAGCAGGGAAAGGTTTCAGCTCTCCCATTTGGGAAATTCCTGGAGCAGGGAAAGGTTTCAGTTCTCCCATTTGGGAAATTCCTGGAGCAGGGAAGGGTTTCAGCTCTTTCATTTGGGAATTCCTGGAGCAGGGAAAGGTTTCAGCTCTCCCACTTGGGAATTCCTGGAGCAGGGAAAGGTTTCAGTTCTCCCATTTGGGAAATTCCTGGAGCAGGGAAAGGTTTCAGCTCTTTCATTTGGGAATTCCTGGAGCAGGGAAAGGTTTCAACTCTTCCAGCTGGGAATTCCTACAGCAGGGAAAGGTTTCAACTCTTCATTTGCTAATTCCTGGAGCAGGGAAAGGTTTCAGCTCCCATTTGGGAATTCCTGGAGCAGGGAAGGTTTCAGCTCTTCATTTGGGAATTCCTGAAGCAGGGAAAGGTTGGAATTCCTGGAGCAGGGAAGGGTTTCAGCTCTTCCCACTCAGGAATTCCTGGAGCAGGGAAGGATTTCAGCTCCCATTTGGGAATTCCTGGAGCAGGGAAGGATTTCAACTCTTCCAGTTGGAAATTCCTGGAGCAGGGAAAGGTTTCAGCTCTCCCATTTGGGAATTCCTGGAGCAGGAAAGGATTTTGTGCTTGGCAGCTCAGAATTCCTGAAGCAGGGAAGGGTTTCAGCTCTTTATTTGGGAATTCCTGGAGCAGGGAAAGGTTTCAGCTCCCATTTGGGAATTCCTGGAGCAGGGAAAGGTTCTGTGCTCTCCTTTGTTCTCCCGCCGGCCCCGCTGCATTCTTCCCTTTTGCCATTATCATTTGGGTTAAACAGAGCGTTGTGTACCATATGGATCATGTTAACAATTGCTTATCTGGAGCCGGTGTTTTCTCCTCTCTGCCTCCTCCCTCCTCCCCTCCCTCCTTCCCTTTCCCAGCCCTTTTTCCCCTCCTGGGGCTTTGGCAGCATCTTGGCTTTGGTTGTGCTGTCAGAGTTCCTTAATTTCCAGGGAAAAACGTGGAATAAACGCTGAGAAATCTCCGAGGTGTTTTCCCTGGATGCTGTGGGATGTGGGATTTGGTTGTTGAGGAGCCCAGGGATGAGCTCCCGCCTGCTGCAGCTCCCTCTCTTTTCTCCGTTTGATAGCTGGGCTCTGGCCTGGGGGTGCTTTGCCTTTCTCATGGCCTGACCCAAGCAGGGGCTGTGCTTTTCCCAAACCTCTGCTCCCAAAGCACCTGCAAAACTGCCTGAAGGTTCCGAGCCCTCTCCCCACATCCAACCTCCACTCCCAGCAGCCACAGGAGGAGAAAATCCTAAAGGATTTGGATTTTTTGGGGTGAAAGCTGAGTGGCCGTGGTGTCACTCCATCCTCCTAGCTGACAGATATTCCTGAGGGCAGGAAAGTTCCCATTGCTGGATCAGGGAATAAAGCTCTCCCCATTCCCAGTCCTGAAAACCAGTTTATCCCCACTGTGAGTTGGTTGCCACAGCTCCTGGAATGTTGTTTTTTCCCTTTGGAATTGGCTTGGTCGTGTCGTGGGGGGGATTTTCTCCTTTTTTCAGAGTCCTGAGTGGGATCCTGGATCTTTCCCTGCCCCAGGAACGCCATCCTTGGTGTGCACAGGGCGCTGGGGCTGCAGGAGCTGGAAATCCTGCGGGTCCTGTGGAGCTCAGCTCTCGCAGCAAAGTTTATTTTATTTATATTTATATTTATTTTTATTTTACAGCTGAGGGTGCTGTAAAACCTCCCCTGGCCTTGCGTCCCAGCAGCAGCTGGAATCGAGGTCACTTAAATTGTCCCCACGGCCCAGGGCCTGCCTGGGGCTCTTATCAGCAGCCCCAGATCTTTATGGTGGCCCTGATAAAGGCACTGACAGAGCTGGAGGATGCCAAGGAGGGATTTTCCTCCTCGAGGAGGGCAAAGCAGAAATGTTTGGTGCATTCTGGTGGTGCCAGCGTGCTGCTGGTGGTGCCCTGGGGCTGGGATGCTGGGGGTGTCCCTGGGGCAGCATTTTGGGGTGTCCTGTGCAGGTGGAATGTCAGCGTGGGCTCTGTGGGCAGGATGTTCACCCTTTATCCCCAGGGTGGGTGCTGGGGTGTCCTGCCTGGATCCAGATGTGGAGGTTTGCACCCTGGTCAGGATGCTGAGATTTCCACCCTGGATCCAGATGTTGGGCTGTCCTCTTTGGTTCCAGATGTTGGGCTGTCCTCCCTGGATTGAGATGTGGAGGTTCCCTCCCTGGTTCCAGATGTTGGGCTGTCCTCCCTGGACCCAGATGTGGAGGTTTCCTCCTTGGTCAGGACTTGGAGGTTCCCTCCCTGGTCAGGATGTTGGGATTTCCTCCCCGGTTCCAGATGTGGAGGTTTCTTCCCTGGTCAGGATGTTGGGGTCTCCTCCCTGGCCAGGGTGCTGAGATTTCCACCCTGGTTCCAGATGTTGGGCTGTCCTCTTTGGTTCCAGATGTTGGGCTGTCCTCCCTGGATTGAGATGTGGAGGTTTCCTCTCTGGTCAGGATGCTGAGATTTCATCCCTGGGTTGAGATCCTGGGGTCTCCTCCCAGGCTGGGATGACAAAACCAGTTTGGGGTGCCCTGTCCAGTTTGGGATGCCCTTTCCAGTTTGGGGTGCCCTCTCCAGTTTGGGGATGCCCTTTCCAGTTTGGGGTGCCCTCTCCAGTTTGGGGATGCCCTCTCCAGTTTGGGGTGCCCTCCCCAGTTTGGGGGTGCCCTCCCCAGTTTGGGGTGCCCTCTCCAGTTTGGGGATGCCCTCCCCAGTTTGGGGATGCCCTTTCCAGTTTGGGGTGCCCTCTCCAGTTTGGGGTGCCCTTTCCAGTTTGGGGTGCCCTCCCCAGTTTGGGGTGCCCTGTCCAGTTTGGGATGCCCTTTCCAGTTTGGGGTGCCCTCTCCAGTTTGGGGATGCCCTTTCCAGTTTGGGGTGCCCTCCCCAGTTTGGGGATGCCCTTTCCAGTTTGGGGTGCCCTCCCCAGTTTGGGGTGCCCTCTCCAGTTTGGGGGTGCCCTCTCCAGTTTGGGGTGCCCTCCCCAGTTTGGGGTGCCCTCCCCAGTTTGGGATGCCCTCTCCAGTTTGGGGTGCCCTCCCCAGTTTGGGGATGCCCTTTCCAGTTTGGGGTGCCCTCTCCAGTTTGGGGATGCCCTTTCCAGTTTGGGATGCCCTCCCCAGTTTGGGGATGCCCTTTCCAGTTTGGGGTGCCCTCTCCAGTTTGGGGGTGCCCTCTCCAGTTTGGGGTGCCCTCCCCAGTTTGGGGTGCCCTCCCCAGTTTGGGGATGCCCTCCCCAGTTTGGGGTGCCCTCCCCAGTTTGGGGTGCCCTCTCCAGGTTGGGGACACCCTCCCCAAAGTGGGCACCCCTCTGCCATGCCAGCCTCCCTGACCTGTCCTACCCAGGCCATCCTTTTCCCTCCAGAGAGAAAAGAGCCGAAATTTTGGTTTTTTTTCCTTTTTTCCTCAAGAAAGTGAAAACAAATATCAGGACAAGCTGCATTTTACTCACATTTGGTTTTCCTACAAAAAAAGCAGCTGAGGAGTGGCTGAGTGAGGAGGCTCTGCCTGCCCTGTGTCACTGCTGGGA